CAGTGGCGTACGCTCACCACCTATACGACCTAACACACACCTTATCCAAAACAGATGTTCAGCTGGCCGTGAGGGTGACCTGGCTGTGACACCTGTCCCCCCACTGATGGCCGGGGTTGACGCAGCTGATCTGGCTGGCCAGGGGGGTGTCCCCTTCCTCCCTCATCACTCCATGTGTGTCCCTCCTGAAACCACATGCTTGGTCAAAGAGGGTGACCATCCCCCACAGAGAAAGACCAGTCTCTGGTCAAGGGTATACGAGTAGCTCGCTTCCCTGCTGATACCTCCACACAAGCTCTTAAAATAGATGCTCAATAAACAGTTGTGGATTGAAAAAAGAAAAGCACCTGGTAATGCTTGCGACCATGTGGCATCCCAGGCCCCACCTCCACTACGTCTGGGGTTGGACTCTGGAAGCAGCAGTCACACTAAGTCCCCACGGGGCTCACAGGGTGAGTGGACCACACCTGAGATGCTGGACGGAGCCCCTGTCCTTGATCCCAGCACTGGTGGCTCTCCATGCTCCGTCCCTCCTGACGGCCCTGAACCACCTGCTTCTGCTAACTACATGATTCTTCCCTGAAATGTGTCTCATGCTTCCAGCCTCTGCACCTGGGCTTTCACGTTCCATTCCTATCTGCTTCCTCCCATGGTGTTTCTGTGGCCTGGAGAACACTGAAGGGCTCCAGGATGGGAGGTGCTTTCCAGAGTTCACCAGGTGCAGAGCAAAGTACCCAAGCCCGAGTTATGGGACGTTCGTTTCACAACTGGCATTGCCCTATCTGAATCGCCATGTTGTCATTAATGAAAAAAAAAAAAAGAAAGAAAGAAAGAAAAAGTGGGTGGTGCCGGGAAAGGTGGCTCACACCCATAATTCTAGCCCTCTGGGAGGCCAAAGTGGGAGAATTGCTTGAGGTTAGGAGTTGGAGACCAGCTTGGGCAATACAGTGAGGCCCCACCTCTACAAAACAATTAAAAGATTAGCTGGGTGTGGTGGTTCATACCAGTAGTCCCAGCTACTCTGGAGGCTGAGGCAGAAGGATTGCTTGAACCCAGGAGTTTGAGGCTACAGTGAGCTATGATTGCACCACTGCACTCCAGCCTGGGTGACAGAACAAGACCCTATCTCAAACAAAACATAAAGTCATCAGGAAGCGGAGGTAGCGAATTGCTTGAACCTGGGAGACAGAGGGTGCAGTGAGCAGAGATCGTGCCACTGCACTCCATTCTGGGCCACAGAGCAAGGCTCTGTCTCAAAAAATAAAAGTAAAAATAAAAAAAATAAAGTCCGCGGTGAGGGGCGGGGGCGGGGATGGGAGGAGGTTATTATCTACCAAACATAGTAGTTGAAAGGATTAAACATGTCACCAAAAACAGAAATGGGTGTGGGAAGTAAAAGTTCCTCTTCAAAGTTTCCTTTCTTGTTAAAGGATAAGTCATAAGTGTGCTAATAACTCTTTGTTAGGCCCTACCCTATGTAGCTGTGAGACATGCCATGCTTACAGGCACGCAGTACATTCTATGTCCTTGTACTTTAACCAAGATATTGGTGCTGGCTGGACGTGCTCACAGGAGGTCCCAGCTCTCCACTGCTTTTAGCGGTTTAGAAAAGTTTTAAGTTATTAGCCAATCGGGTTTTAGTTTAGATTGTGAGGTCTGGCTCCAGCCAACAGAGAGCAGACGCAGCAGTAGGGACGACCCCAGATGCGTAAGGGATGAATGTGTGTGTCTTTCTTTGTTCACTGTACTCTCATGGCAAGATGGCGAGCGAGAGTCCCCTTCCTGCAGTCCAGGAAGTAAAAACTGCATTGCTGAAATATTCGTCTCAGGGCTGATTGTTCTTGCCGCGCCGAACGTCTATTTCCAACATATTGCACCCTTGATTTTTTTTTTTTTTTTTTGAGACAGAGTCTCGCTCTGTTGCTTAGGCTGGAGTGCAGTGGCGCCATCTAGGCTCACTGCAACTTCTGCCTCTTGGGTTCAAACAATTCTCCTGCCTCAGCCTCCCCAAATAGCTGGGATTACAGGTGTGTGCACAGCACATTTCTGTATTTTTAGTAGAGACAGGGTTTCACCATGTTGGCCAGGCTGGTCTTGAACTCCCGTCCTGAAGAGATCCATCCGCTTTGGCCTCCCAAAGTGCTGGGATTACAGGCATGGTCAGCCAAGGCATCCAGCCTTGACATTCTATTTTTAAATAAAACTCAGGCTTCCAAAAAGAAGCGGATGTTTGTCTAATTCAAATTAGTAACCAGCCAAAACCAAGGAGACAGACATTTCTGAGCGAGAGAGACTCGGAGTAGCCAGGAACCGTTTACATCTTGTTGACAAACACATGTTTCAAGACAGGAAATTAGCCTCCTCCATGCCCATTTTATCTGTTTAATTGCTGTTTGATAATAAATTACAACATAGAGTCCATTAATTAAGCCAGTGATGTCCCTGGAACACCAATTCCTACTGCTGGGGGCTGCCTGTTTACAGGAGCTCTGATTTCGCCACTGTTTGCACCCGTGGCACTTTGGGACGTGGTTTAGAAGAATTTGGGTTGGAAGACGGGCCTCCTTGCACAGAAGGAGTGGGTTTGGGAAGCGGGGGAGCCTTGATGAATGAGCAGAGGGACAGCCTGGCAGATGGAGAGCTGTGCCAAGAGTTCTCTAATTCAGGACACGTGGCTGAACAGAAAGCAACATTGGATTGACTTTTTAAAAAGCAGCTGGCAGAAAGCAACCGGGGCCCAGTTAACAAGTGTCTATCCCAGAGCCAGGGGGAGCCATGAGCAGCCTAATTCGGTTTACCGTTCTAAATCAACTCAATCCAATCAGCTCAATGGCAGGAGCTCTCACTTGGAAAAGTTCCGCACACAGGTGGAGCTGGGAAAGATGAAACCCAGAGATTTCCTAATGAAGGCGCCACACTGTGCTGGGAGTCGCTAAGCTCCCAGCGGGAAAGGAGATTTGATGTCTGGCTCCTGCCTGGGGAGGAAGTAGTAGGTGGTCACCTCCAGAGTGAAAACCCTCATTAAATTTTAACCACAGGCTCAAGCACAGCAGCTGACACCTGTAGGCTCAGTACTTTGGGAGGCAGAGGAGAGAACTGCTTGAGGTCTGGAGTTCCAGACCAGCTGGGAGACCCTCTCCTCCACCATTTCTGTCTCTCTCTCTGTCCTTCATTTCTTTTTTCCTTCCTCCCTCCCTCCCTCCCTCCCTCCCTCCTTCCTTCTTTCTTTCTTTCGTTAGAGTCTTGCCTGTTGCCCAGGCTGGAGTGCAACGGCGTGCTCTCAGCTCACTGCAACCTCTGCCTCCTGGGTACAAGCGATTCTCCTGCTCCAGCCTCCCCAGGCAGCTGGGACTACAGGCGTGCACCACCACGCCAAGCTGATTATTGTATTTTTAGTAGAGATGGGGTTTCACTGTGTTGGATGGTCTCAAACTCCTGCCTTGGCCTCCCAAAGTGCTGGGATTACAGGCATGAGCCACTGCGCCTGGCCTCGGTGGGAGGATTTCTTGAGCCCAGGAGGTCAAGGCTGCAGTGAGCTATGATTGCACCAGTGCACTCCAGCACGGGCGACATAGTGAGACCCTGTCTCCAAAAAAAAAAAAAAAAAAAAAAGTTTCGACCATGTTGTCCTGAAAGTGGGCCATCCAGGCATTCCTGCAGAAGCTTGATGGAGGAGGGGCTATGAGAAATAAAAGCTGCAGACAGAAAGGGAAGGAAGGTCAAGTTCGCAGCAGTCTGCCCCACACTAAGCTTGGAGATGTGGACATCACAGGGTGTTAGAGATGCTGGGGTAGACAGACGGGGAGGGCAGGGGCCACAGGGCCACAGAAGGCAGACACAGCGGCCTTACAGTCCAGCCCTCAGGCTCACCCAAGAACTTCCTGAGTGGCTTTAGAAACCTTCCCCTGAAATACCCAAAGCAAAATGCACCTGCTTAGAGCCACGTGGGGAAGCTCTGGGATCAGACCGTCTTTACTCCGTTCCACATTCACAGGAGGAGTGGACGTCCTCAGAGCAGTTTTGGATCATGCCAGTATCTAACTGCCATAGTCCTTGTGACGTCACCGTTACTAAGTGCTCCATTCAAGTGTGACTTATTCAGAAGTCTGGGAGTTAAGTGCTCTTTTCACAGCTCCTCTTGGAGTAACTGCCTAACAGGGTGACGGGGCACAGCCTCTGGGATCTTGCTGCCTGGGCCACAGGCTGTGGGTATCCTAGGAAGCTGGCGTGGGGCGTGTGCTGGGCGCGGCCTCCCGCCCTCTGTGTCCCCTCTCTTCAAGCCCTCTAGGCCCAGGACCACAAGCCCTATCTCCAGCTCCTGGCCACCCCAGCCTGAGGCTAGCTAGGGGCTTTTCATTTGGTCTATTCCAAGATACAGCTTCTCAGACAGTCCCCTCTGGAGCTGCCGTATGCAGTCTGAACACATCCCCCCCTCCCTCCGACCCCAGGGGAGCCTTCTAGTGGCTCCCTGACATCCTCTGGATCAAGTCCCGATTCCTCAAACCAGCAGCATCAGCATCAGCTAGGAATCAGAAACGCAAACCCAGGGCTGCGTGCTGAGGTTCACGCCTATAATCCTCGCACTGTGGGAGGCTGAAGGCGGGAGGAGCCCTCGAGGCCAGGAGTTAAGACTCCATCTCTACAGAAAATGGAAACTTGAGCCGGACATGGTGGCATGAGCCTTCAGTCCCAGCTACTAAGAAGGCCGAGGGAACACCTGAGCCCAGGAAGATGAGGCTGCAGTGAGCTGTGATCACACCACTGCACTCCAGCCTGGGCAACAGAGCGAGACTCTATCACAAAACAATAAATAAATAAATCCGTGTGGATGCAACAACCACTTATGAATCTTTTGCCTAGCTTCTTCAGAGAAATAACCAGAAAGACTCCTACCTTCTTCTTAAAATCTCAAGGTAGACGGCAACAACGGTAACCAAGAAGGCCCCTGTGGGCCCGAGATGGTGCTATTACTTCCTTGCTCGCCAGAGACGAGTTCCTACCTGTGGTCCCCAGCCGTGACACGGATACAATATTGCCGTGTGGTTCTCCAGCGGCCCCTGGTCCAAGCAGACATCTTTTGCCTTGTTGTTACGAAGCTGCAAGAACAGACAAAACACGACCCATCAGAGCTCAGCTGGTGGGGTGGGGATTCCCTGCCACTGCTCCACCATGCCTTGGTTCTGACTTAGTGACGGGAAGGCCACACGAGCTTCTGAGTGAGGACTGGGCTCCAGTCTGTGCGGTGATCACCTTAGCAAGAAAGATCAGGTCTCAAGGTGGATGGCATGGGTGCTCGGTCTCTTGACTGCATCCTGGGCAGCTTGGACCCCACCCTCACAGCACCTCCATCCCCAACATGTCAGGCAATCCCAGGGAGCACTGGTTACCTAGATCTCAAGCTTCTCAATGGCTTTTAAACGTCTAAGTGGCTTCTAAGCTTCTCAGTGGCTTGGAAAATCTGGTTATCGAGATCTTAGGCTCTAAGTGGGCCTCAGCACCAACATTGATTTTAATAAACTAGGTAATCACGGGTTAGCTTCTCACGTCATTATTTGCATAAAGGCATGAAGAACAGATGTGGTGGCTCACACCTGCAATCCCAGCTCTTTGGAAGGCTGAGGCAGGAGGATCACTTGAGCCCAGGAGTTCAAGACCAACATGGGCAACATAATGAGGCCCCATCTCTACAAAACCATTAAAACAAATTAACAGCTGGGTGCAGTGCTCACGCCTGTGATCCCAGCACTTTTTGGGAGGCTGAGGTGGGTGGATCACTTGAGGTCAGGAGTTCAAGACCAGCCTGGCCAACATGGCGAAACCCTGTCTCTACTAAAAATACGAAAAGTTAGCTGGGCGTGGTGGCGCACACCTGTAATCCCAGCTACTTGGGAGGCTGAGGCAGAACTGATTGAACCCAGGAGGCGGAGGTTGCAGTGATCTGAGATTGCGCCATTGCATTCCAGACTGGGCGACAAGAGCACAACTCTGTCTCAAGAAAAAAACACAAAAACAAAACAAAGTAACCAGGAGTGGTGGCATACACTTGTAGTCCCAGCTACTCAGGAGGCTGGGATGGGAGGATCGCTTGAGCCCAGGCGTTCCAGGCTGCAGTAAGCTGGGATTGTACCACTTCTCTCTAGCCTGGGCGACAGAGCAAGACCTATTTCTAAAAAAAGAAAAAACATGTAAATACTTGCTATCATAAAATGCTCTAGCAGTATCTATTTACATGTTCAGAAACATTTACTGATACCTATGCTATGCTATGCTAAGCACCACTGCAGGAGTGTATGGAGCGCACCGTGGAAGAGGTAGGCACGTGTCTTTGGGAGCGCATAAGAACTGATCTAATTTGCATCTCCGGGTGCACTGTGGTCTGTAGGGTATCCATCCCACCATCACCCTAGGGTCTCAGTGGCTGGCTAAAAGGCAACGCTGCCGGACCTCTCATCTATACCCGTCCCCTCCAGATTCTATTCTCCACAGAACAAAGAGAAGAAAAGGCCTTCTGTTCTTCGTGTACTCAGATTGTCTTTAGGCTCGCACAACTTGAGCAGATTTCTAAATCCTTTTTTTTCTTTGAGTGGCAGGGTCTTGCTTTGTACTCCAGGCCGGAGTGCAGTGTTGTGATCACAGCTCACTGCAGCCTCCAGCTCCTGGCCTGAAGCAATCCTCCCACTTCAGCCTCCCAAAGTACTGGGATTACAGGTGTGAACTACGGTGCCTGGCTAAGAGTTCTTTACATATTAAGGACATGAATGTTTTAACAGAATATTTGCTTTACGCCATGATTTGAGATTGCCAGGTTTTAAATTTTGTTCTAATATTTATGCAATCAAATCTATCATTAAGTAATTTAATATTTATTGAGGGCCTGGGAAGTGCCTGGCACTGTGCTAAATGTAATGAACAAAAGATAAATAACACAGTCCTTGCCTTGAAGTAGTCCGCCATCTACTGCAATGACTGAAATATGCTAAGGCCAACAAGCAGAACTTCTTTTTTTTTTTTTTTTTTTTTTTGAGATGGAGTCTCACTCTGTCACCAGGCTGGAGTGCAGTAGTGTGATCTCGGCTCACTGCAACCTCCACCTCCTGAGTTCAAGCAATTCTCATGCCTCAGCCTCCCAAATAGATGGGATTACAGGCATGTGCCACCACACCTGGCTAATTTTTGTATTTCTAGTAGAGACGGGGTTTCACCATGTTGGCCAGGATGGTCTCGATCTCCTAACCTCATGGTCTACCCACCTCAGTCCTCCAAAGTGCTGGGATTACAGGCATGAGCTACTGTGCCCCCGCCAAGAACTTCTTTACCCATTCTGGGAATTCAGAGATAACTGCTAAGGGGAGGTGACTCCTGCCCTAAGCGTTATAAAGAATATATGGGCTGGGTGCAGTGGCTCACGCCTGGAATTCTAATGCTTTGGAAGGCTGAGGCTGTAAGATTGCTTAAGGTCAGGAGTTGGAGACAAGCGTGGGCAACGTAGGGAGACCCCTCCATCTCCACAAAAAAGAAACAAATTAGCCAGGCGTGGTGGCATGTGCTTGTCGTCCCAGCTACTTGGGAGGCTGGCGTGGGAGGATGGCTTGAGCTCAGTAGTTTGAGGCTATAGGGAGCTGAGACTGTGCTATTAAGACTCCCACTTGGGTGACAGCAAGGCTGTGACTCAATCACTCCCTCAATCAATGTTGTCTAGAGCCAACAGCAGTGGCTCATACCTGTAGCACCAGCTACTAGGGAGGCTGAGGTGGGAGGATTGCTTGAGCCCAGGAGTTCAAATCACGATTATGCTACTGCACTCCAGCCTGGGCAACAGAGCAAGACCCTGCCTACTTAAAAAAAACCAGCTGTCTGAAAAATGGTAATTTTTGTTGCCAAGCAGCATTTGAAAAATTTGGTTTCTTTCATTGAACACTATAGTCCATCTGAAATATCTACTTGTAAATGGTGACACTCAGCAGGTGGAGGAGGAGTAAGAGAACCCAATCCCTTAAAACGTTAACACTGATTATATTTGGGAATTGGGATTTGGAGTAAGTTGAGATGTCATCTTTATATTTCCAATAGAATGTATGTGTTGAATTTATTATTTTAAAAATAAAGTTTGTAAAAACAAAAAGCTTCTCTCTTCCAAAAAAACCAGACTATGATCACAATGTCACCTCCAATGCCACCCCCACTGTACAGCTCAAGGGACATCATTTATACTGTGGTTGATCCCAAAGGCAACCCATGGAGTTGTGCAGTGCACAGACTGTGGAGCTGTACACAGCAGCTCTGGCAAACTTCTACCTCGGTGGTTCATGCCTATAGCCCCAGATACTTGGAAGCTGAAGTGGGAGAATCACTTGAGCCCAGGAGATCGAGGCCAGCCTGGACAGCATAGTGAGACCCCTTTTCTACAAATAAATAAATAAACAAAATTAGCCAGGTGTGATGGTGTGTATCCATAGTCCCAGCTATTCGGAAGGCTGAGGTGGGAGGATTGCTTGAATCTAGGGAGTTTAAGGCTGCAGTGAGCCAAGACTATGCCACTGCACTCCAGCCTGGGGGGCAAGGCTGGTCATCGTTCTTACTGTTTCCTTTTTAGTAACTATTTTTCTTCTGATTATAAAAGGATCACCTAACATTAGTGAAAGTTGGAAAAGCATGGAAAAGTACCCCTACCGAGGTGATCATAACTGTCTCCTCCATTTCCCAATCTAAAATAGCAGCAAATTCAGTTTGATCGTCCTGACATTTCCTTCTTAAGCATTATGGTATCAGTGTTTTTCTCATGTCATTAAACTTTTGTACGTGCCGTTTGTAATGGCTGTAAAATAGTTCAAACCACGAATGCATTATATTCAACTAATCTTCAAGTTAAATTCAAAACAAAAATTTCCTAAAAAATAACACGTCTGAGCTGAACAATTTTACTCTCAAATCTCTGTCCTTATTTCAGATTATTTGCTTGGGATAAGAGTGGAGAAGAAACTGTCATTAAGCTTTTTAGTATATGTGGGTCAAATTGCTTTTTAAAAGGCTTGTTTCAATTTGCACACTCACAGAGGATATGGTTTTTTTCATATTACTAAGACCTTGCCTGTGAAGTAACAACATAAATTCCAAGAAAGGAATCTTTGTTTGGGGATAGGGAAAAAACAAAGCTATCTCTATTTAATTTTTTTTCTTTGACTATGAAATACATTTAAATTTTTCATGTGTTTTTCACCCATGTGTATTTTTTCTTACGTAACTGACCTTGTGCTTTATTTTTCTTTGGGGATGTTTCATTTTGTCGTTTAAATCAAAATTTTAAAATCATGCCTTTAATCCCAACACTTTGGGAGGCTGAGGTGGGTGGATTACTTGAGGTCAGGAGTTGGAGACCAGCCTGGTCAACATGGTGAAACCCCATCTCTACTACAAGTACAAAAATTAGCTGGGCTTGGTGGCACGTGCTGGTCATCCTAGCTACTACAGGCAGGCTGGGGCAGGAGAGTTGCTTAAACCTGGGAGGTGGAGGTTGCAGTGAGCCGAGATTGCACCATTGTAACCCCGCCTGGGTGGCTCTATCTCAAAAAAAAAAAAAAAAATTAACTTGTGGAACTTATTATATATGAATGGTATTTGTCCATCTATAGTATTTGTGGTATATGTATTTCCAGTTTGGTGTGTTCTCTACTCAGTTGAGGTACAGATTATTTTAATATTTATGAGCTTGGGTCCATGACACATTTCCTTTGTGTTTCTTGCTGTGGCTTTCATTCTTAGAAAGCCCTTTCTCATTCAGAGATCAGATTCATCACTATTTCCACATGGTTCTTTTATTATTTCTTTCATGTAATACTACAGTCCGTCTGAAATCTACGTTGGTACATGGCAAGCTGTAAGGATCTGAACTGATTTCTTTCCCAAAGAGCTAGGCAATTGACCCAGTTGTTTTAGGAATAATCCATGCACTGCTCATTGTGGTTCGATACTTCCTTTCTATTTAATCTTACTTTGAGAGTTAAAACAAATTTATGTTTTTATTTTGGGGAAGAAAACACAAGGCAGTTCAGATCTCTTAACGACAACTGCTATGTGCCAGGCACCTGCTTTTCCTTTTTCTTTTTTTTTTGAGAGAGAGTCTCACTCTGTTACCCAGGCTGGAGGGCAGCGGCACGATCTCAGCTCACTGCAAACTCCGCCTCCCAGGTTCAAGTGATTCTCCTGCCTCATCCCCGAATAGCTGAGATTGCCCGCACCTGCCACCATGCCCAGCTTGTTTTTTGTGTTGTCAGTAGAGATGGGGTTTTTCACCATGTTGGTCAGGCCGGCCTCGAACTCCTGCCTTCAAGCGATCTTCCCGCACTGGCCTCCCAAAGTGCTGGGATTACAGGCGTGAGCCATCACGCTTGGCCATGCCAGGAAGTGTTCTAAGAACTCCACATATCACAGCTCACTTTATCCTTCCAGGAACCCTGCAGAGGGCTACTCTCCTTCCTCCCATTCTATAGCTTAGGGAACGGCAGCCAAGAGGAGCCGCACAGCCAGTAACAGCCTACTGGGATTTGAACCCAGCAGGCTGGCTCCAGTCTCCATGTACCCTGACCACCCCAGAGGCTGCCCTTCTAAGACGCCAGCATCCCGTTCCAAATTCCAGCTCAGGAGGGTCCCCACTCTATATCCGATGACTTCACCTGGGGTTGATTTACTTTCTATAAAAGGCAGCAGGCAAAGGCTAGGAAAATCCACAGTTGTAGAAAAATGTAAATACTCTTAAGTTGAAGGGATTCTTCTTGGCTTTAACCTGGTAGTCACAGGGAGTTGCAGGGAAGAAAACCAGATTGTGGAGCTAATGGGGTGTCTGTGCCACACTGAGAGCACCCAGCTCCGTACTCCTTGGCCTGACTGTGTGTCCCCAGTTCTGTCTCAGACAGGCATTGCAAAAAGAACAAGGTAGATGCATGAGTGTTTCTATATGAAGATGTTCTCAGCAATGGTATGATACTTTAAAACTGGAAACGACACCAGTGTCTACGCTCTCAAGCAAAGCACAGCTTACACAAAACGTGGAACCATGTGCAGCCACTGATCAATGGCAAAAATATTTAACGACAGTTACGTATTCTCTATACGATTGAGTAAAATTTCAAGTTATTAGGCATTGTGAACGGAATGCTTTTAGTAAAAAAAAAAAAACATGGGTATACACACACACACACACACACGCAGGCCAGAGGCCCATACATCAAAGTGTATACGTTAGCTCTGGTATCTGGATGTCCACGTCCAATCTTGGTATCATGACTTATAAGCTCTGTGACCTTAGGTAAGTTAGATAATTTATCTAAGTTTCAGTTTTCTTATTAATAAAACAGAAATAATGCCAGTCTCTCATAAGATGAAGGTAAAATGGATTTGTAAGCAGAAAGCACTTAGAATAGTGCCCAGTACTTCCCAAGCACTCAAATATTCATCCCTAGTATTATTATTTTCAAAATGTTCTCAAATGCATATTGATGGTATTTGTACTAAGAGAAAAATCGCTTGCCTTCAGGTTTAGAAAGGTGATATGATCACACCGCAGACACAATCTGAGAACATTTCCTCCTTTCTCTGATGAGAAGTGATTCCAGTCCACAGCACAGAGCGATGGAGGCCTCCGACCCCCCGCCTCTCTTTACCTCCAACTTCCTGCTCAGTATCTCCTCCGCTTACGGGTCCCAGAGGACCTCAGAGTCAACATTTCCCAAACAGTATTTATTATCTGCTACATATCTCAGGCCAAGAAGACTCCCAGTCTTTTTTGTTTTTGTTTGTTTGTTTTGTTTTGAGACCGAGTCCTGCTTTGTTGCCCGGGCTGGTTGCAGTGCCCCTATCTCGACTCGCTGCAACCTCCGCCCCCTGGGCTCAAGGATTCTCCTGCCTCAGCCTCCTGAGTAGCTGGGCTAACAGACATGCACCACCACACCCAGCTAATTTTTGTATTTTTTATAGAGACGGGGTTTCACCATATTGGCCAGGCTGGTCTTAAACTCCTTACCTCATGATCCGCCTGCCCCAGTGTCCCAAAGTGCTGGGATTACACATGTGAGTCACCGTGCCCAGCCCACAGTCTTTTATCCATAGTCCATTGTAACATTCATCACATTTGTTCCCTACTCCAACCCTCCAGCTAGAGAGAATCTTGCTGTCAGGGAAGACCCCTCCAAAAAACACTCCTTGAATGAGTGAATGAGCAACTCTATTTCTCCCCAGTAAAGCAACCCGCAGCATATTGAACAGCATTCCAAGCCAAAAGCATGCAGGGTCCAAATTACCTCCCCGTAAGCAATTGTATTATTGTATCTTCTCATTTCTGGGTAAACGTGGTCCAGGTACCACTGGAAATTCTTACACTTTAAACTTTTCCTCAATGCTCTTCTTTCGGAGACATCGCCAATGTCAATTCCCGGATTCTGAAAGGGGAGAGAAATCAGCAGGTGTTAGAGACGGCGGGGTGATGGCCACGTGGGGCACAGGTGGAGCCACTTCCAGGGAAACCTTCACATAGAAGATCTTAAGCCTCGAATGCTTATTCAGAAAGGTGGTTTCTTTTGTTTTTGTTTTTTTGAGACAGAGTCTCGCTCTGTCACCCAGGCTGGCGTGCAGTGGCGCAATCTCATCTCACTGCAACCTTGGCCTCCTGGGTTCAAGTGATTTTTCTGCCTCAGCCTCCCCAGTAGCTAGGATTACAGGCTCGTGCCACCAGGCCCAGCTAATTTTTGTATTTTTAGTAGAGATGGGCGTTTCATCATGTTGGCCAGGCTGGTCTCAAACTCCTGACCTCAAGTGATTCGCCAGCCTCGGCCTCCCAAAGTGCTGGGATTACAGGTGTGAGCCACTGCACCCAGCCAGAAGGGCAGTTTAAGGAGAGCTGCTTGCTCCATCCAGACCCAGGCCAGGGAATCCTTGTTCCTGAGCAAAGTCAGAACCTGAAGCATGAAAGGTCTCAGACAAGCCAACCATCCTTATCACTGCTATGCAAATGATTTCTGGGACACGCTGATGTGGACGACCTACATTCTCAGTTTCTTCCCTCCCACATTTCCTTGGTAACTATCAGAGCCAATTATTAGAGGAATTATTTGATTAGGACAGGAAAATAAATGCCTACAACCCCCTCCTGTCTCTCTTTTTCATACCTGCGAAATTTCTCCTTTTGTTGGCTCTTTGCGAAGTTCATTATACGCAGAAGTGAAAATAATTTTCTATTGCAAAGCTTGTAACGATGCTCTAATGAATAATTCACTCTGCTTTTACAGAAATAAACCTGTAATGGCTGCTGTGTGCTGACAGGAAAAACAGAGGATCTGAAATACGACCCTGCAGACTCATCGGCAAGATGGCCAGGAATTAACGGAGACGGGATGCGTCTGGGGGCTGGGAGAAGACTTCCAATTATGTCATTCGCATCACCTGGGCAGTCAAACAGCGATTTTAAAGGGAAATCCCTTTAAACGTCAAACTTATTCAACCCAAAGACAACCCTGAGCAGTAACCATTAACTCTTTGTTTTAATATATTTAGCTTGATTCATGAAAATGGTCTGGGTTTTGTTTGTTTTTCTGAGACAGTTTCACTCTTGTTGCCCAGGCTGGAGTGCAATGGCACAAACCTGGCTCACTGCAACCTCCGCCTCCTGGGTGCAAGGAATTCTCCTGCCTCAGCCTCCCAAGTAGCTGCGATTACAGGTGTGTGCCACCACGTCCGGCTAATTTTTGTATTTTTTAGTAGAGTAGGGGTTTCTCCATGTTGGTCAGGCTGGTCTCAAACTCCTGACCTCAGGTGATCTGCCCACCTTGGCCTCCCAAAGTGCTGGGATTACAGGCGTGAGCCACCACGTCTGGCCAAAAAAGATCATTTTTTAAGAGCCTGGCAGGTTACCACTGGCATTTGGGACCAGAGATTGTCTGCCGTCGTGGACAAAGCACTTGGCTGCAGTCAAAAGGTTTGAGTTTTGTGTCACTCTAGGTCACACCACCATTCCGGGTCAAAACTCATGGCCAGGCGCAGTGGCTCACGCCTGTAATCCCAGCACTTTGGGAAGCTCAGGAGGGAGGACTGCTTGAGCCAAAGCGTTCGAGACCGGCCTGGGCAACCTGTCAAAAACTCGTCTCTATGAAACATACAGAAGTTCGACAGGTGTGGCAGTGCATACCCAGGGTTCCGGCCACACAGGAGGCTGAGGTGGGAGGATGGCTTGAACCCGGGAGATGGAAGTTTCAGGGAACCAAGATCGTGCCACTATTCTGCAGCCTGGGTGACACAGTGAGACCCTATTTCAAAAAACAAAATCCTCCTATACAAAACAGGAAGAATAATGATACCTATTTCACTGACTTCACAGGGCTGTGGTGAGGTTTTTTTTTTTTTGAGATGGAGTCTCACTCTGTTGCCCAGGCTGGAGTGCAGTGGCATGATCTCAGCTCACTGCAACTTCTGCCTCCTGGGTTCAAGCAATTCTCCTGCCCCGGCCTCCCGAGTAGCTCGGATTACAGACAGGCATGTGCCACCACGCCCGGCTAATGTGTGTGTTTTCAGTAGGGGCAGGGTTTCACCACGTTGGCCTGGGGTGAGGTTCTGCATGAGGGCCTGAACTGACATCCCTGCCCACGTGCTATGCGTGGGACCTTAAACAAGTCACTTTTAGCTTCTCACAGCTTCAATTTCTTCGTCCGTAAAATGAGCAACATAATACATTCATATCAAGCTAGCATTTACGGAACACTTCATATTTGCTGAGCTCTGCTCTCAGCCTTGTTTTATCTTCATGGGAATCCTATCAGGTAAATATTAAGGATCTGTGTTTTTAGATGAGGAAACTGAGGCAGACAGTTCTTCTGTCATGAGGCAGTTATGACAATTAAGTAAACTATTGCAAATAACGACTTACTAGGTACCTGGGACATAGTAAGTGCTGAACAAATGTTACATATCTTTATATCATCATCATGGATCAAAGCACTTATCGCTTCACAGCTAGAAAGGGCTAAGCGGCCAGAGGGTTTTTTTAATTCTTGAGAATGTATTTCAAAACTGATAACAACATTGAAAAACCCTTCACTTTTATCTCATTGACCCGTAAATCTGGCACACATTCTTCTGTTCTGGGCTCTGGCCTCCTGACACAAAGGGGCTGCCACCTCTCAACAGGAACCACTCCAGGTGTTTCCGGCCTGCCTCAGACCACCTATGGGTGCCCTGGCTGAGGAGACAAACTGAGCTGTGGCTGAGGGTGTAAGCTGCCCTGCTGTGCAGCACAGGACACACAATGCACCCCGTGCCAGGTGCGCCTCTCAGCATGCCACATGTATGAATTCATTTAGTTCTCAGATCACCCCAGGAAGGAGAGCCTGCTGTTACCCCCAGTTTACAGCTGAGGGAACTAAGGTACAGTCGACTCTCTAGATCCACAGTTTCTGCATCCATCGGTTCAACCAACTGCAGATTAAAAATATTTTTTAAAGACCAATAATAACAATACAATAAAAAAAATACAAGTAAAGCATAAGAATTATTTACACAGCATATATTGTATTATCTGTAAGTAATCTAGAGGTGATTCAGCCATAAAAAGGAACAAATTAACAGCACTTGCCATGACCTGGATGAGGCTGGAGACTGTTATTCTAAGTGAAGGAACTCAGAAATGGAAAAGCAAACATCGTATGTTCTCACCGATACGTGGGAGCTAAGCTATCAGGACACAAAGGCACAAGAATGACACAGTGGGCTTTGGGGACCCGGGGGAAGAGTGGGAGGAGGGCGAGGATAAAAGACAATAAACAGGGCGCAGTGTACACTGCTCGGGGGGTGGGGGCACCAGGGTCTCACACATCTCCACTAAAGAACTTACGCGCGTAACCAAATGCCACCTGTACCCCAATAACTCATGGAAAAATAAAATGTAAAAAAATTTTGTGCTGCTGTCATAAAAAAAAAAATATTTGCACATAACCTAGGCATAAAGTCTTGTGCATATATATGTGTGTATATATACATATATACGTGTGTATATATACACATATATACACATATATATACATATATACATGTATATATACACACACAGGATGTTTTATACACACACACACACACACCCCCCCCCACCCAGGACATTATGCTTAGGTTATGTGCAAATACTATGTGTACATATATATATATATATATATATATATACACACACACACACACACACACACACGCACACACACACACAGCATTATGCTTAGGTTATGTGCAAATACTGTGTATATACAATATTTGCACATAATATATATATGGTATTTGCACATAAATACTACAGGATTTTAGGTTATGTGCAAATACTATATGTGTGTGTATATATACACACAAACATGCACACACACACGAAGTTATGCTTAGGTTATGTGAAAATACTATGTGTGTGTATATATATACATGCACACACAGGACGTTATGCTTAGGTTATATGCAAATACTATGTGTATATACACGCACACACACACACACAGGATGTTATGCTTAGGTTATGTGCAAATACTATGTGTATAGACACACACACACACAGAGGACGTTATGCTTAGGTCATGTGCAAATACTACACCATTTTGTATCAGAGACTTGAGCTTCCGTGAGCTTTGCTGTCCACAGGGAGTCCTGGAATGAGTCCCCTGTGGATACCATGGGATGAATGGTACAGAGATGAGTGGATTTGGTCAGTGTCTCCTAACTCATAAATGATAGCACTGGGATTCCAACCATGCTAGTGTGCAACTACTGCACAAAACTCCCCCGGGGCTGCAGTGACATGGGAATTTCCGAGGGCATATTCTGAGCAGAACGCGGAGGAGAGCTGGCGAGCCAGGGGATGTGGCACACGGTAAAGGCATCTGACAGGGGGCAGCTGGAGCTCCAGGGGACAGAGACAGAGAATGTCACAGAGGACGAAGGGTCTGCTGCCAAACATCTGGGCAAGAACTTTCTGGACACAGCATATGATCAGGAACAGGGCAGCCAGATTAACATAGCAAAGACCGGGATTAACACGCTAAGACTCTTGTAATCTCTGTAAGTGGATTGAGAGAGATTCCCCTTGTGCTAGCCCTGGTGTCAGGCAGGAGTTCTAAAGCTGAGACATCTGCGAACCCCTTTGAAATGCATTCATAATTTTTCTAAGCATGAGCATTTTCTGGGGAGGACCCATTGGTCAATTAAAGAAACAGTGGCCAGTCAAACAGTAGGGATCACCGTTCTGGGGTGGTGGGGAAAGGCCGGAGTCCCTACCTCCAGCGGCAGGTTCCACGCTATGTACACATGAGACTTGTAATCGTCCATCCAGACCTCAGCAACGCGCAGAGCGTTCCTCTTTGTGTAGAAGCCGATGTTGCTATTATACGGTTTCTTCTTCCTCTCGATGTGGGCCACCCGTGAACAAGGAAGGACCTCCATGCTGCCCCCACAGAGCCATACCTAGAGGAACAAAGATTTCGTCAGCCTGAAAAAGAAATTCCCAGAGGCCATGCCCCCCACTCCCCACAACACGGAGCCCAAAAGCAATGGTTCAGCTGACTCTGCATAAATGTGAAATACATTTTAATATACAAACCCAATGAGAGGCCATGCATGGCGCCTCACGCCTGTAATCTCAGCACTTTGGGAGGCCGAGGTGAGCAGATCATTTGAGATCAGGAGTTTGAGACCAGCCTGGCTAAGATGGTGAAACCCCATCTCTACTAAAGATACAAAAATTAGCCAGGCACGATGGTGCACACCTATAATCCCAGCTACTTGGAAGGCTGAGGCAGAAGAATCACTTGAACCCGGGGGGTGGAGGTTTCAGTGAGCTGAGATTGTGCCACTGCACTCCAGCCTGGGTGACAGAGTGAGACTCTGTCTCAAATAAATAAACAAAAATACACACATACATACATATAGACATACATACATAAAGCCAATGAGAGCTCAAGGCTGGTTTGTTACTGCAGCGTGGTCTAACCCAACCTGGCCAAAACATGCAAAAAAGGAGGCTTGGGAGAATTCTTATAGAAACAACAACTCAGGATATAAAATCCAGCTCTAGGTAACAGAAGCCTGTAAACGGAAGCTCCCCATGCCAACACATGAGTTTTCTTAAGTTCTCAACAATGCACAGATGTCTTAGGTTCTCAGTCATGCACCCATGAAGGTGGCCTTCCCCACCTGGCTGAAGCTGTGCCCGACAATGTAGAATGGAAAATTCACACTCAGAAGCAGATCCTCTATATTTGTATCAGCACAAGGTGTGTATAACAATCTAGTTTGGCGGTGTGTTGTGTTTTGTTTTGAGACACGGTCTTGCTCTGTCATCCAGACTGGAGTGCAGTGGTGCGATCACAGTTCATTGTAGCTTTGAACCCCTGGCTCCAAGTGATCCTCCTGCCTCAGCCTTCCGAGTAGCTGGGACTACAGGTATGTGCCTCCATGCCCAGTTAATTTTTAATTTTTTTTTTTTTTTTTGCAAAGATGAAGTCTTGCTATGTTGCCCAAACAGGCTGCTCTCACACTCCTGGCCTCTAGCGATTCTTCCACCTCGGCCTCCCAAAGTGTTGGTATCACAGGCATGAGCCATTATGCCCAGCCTAGTTCTGCACTGTTAATATGCTCTACTTTGGAGTCCTATGGCACAGATGCCAGGCCTTCTGGAAGCATCCACTCTGATGCCATCATAAGCAGCTGTCGCTTGCTACTGCTGAGCTATTCAGATGGAAAGCTGCAATGATGGCTGCCTTTGAGGCAAAAGCTCAAGGACGTGGGACTTACCATTCCTCTGCCTGGGCATGGCAGGCACCTAGGCTGTAAGGCCCTGCTCCAAAAAGAAAGCTGGACCATCCAACTTCTTTTGGTCCAGGTAAGAAAATAAAAACAGCCATACTGTGAAAAACAAAAATTAAATTTATATAAATGAAGTTCCTAGTACCAGTGGAAAAAGAGAAAAATGACAGAAAACTTCAGGGGCCTGCGAGGCTGCTCTGCTGTGAAGATACTGTATACTCTGCATAATTGACAGTTTTTTGCAGGCGAGCTGACTCAGGTGGGCTCGTTCCAAGCTGGGTTCCTTTAAGCCATTCTACCTTTAGTTTCCCAGTAACCTTCACAGCAAGGACAGTGAGACACTCTTGAGTGTTTGCATACCCATCTTGACTTTTGTTGACTGAATTTGGGGGCAAAATCTGTTTGTGTGTGTATGATGTTCTGTTTCTATTTCCCAACTTTGGCTCTACCATAGGGAAATGATACACACAGAAAATGCTCCCATAAGCAAGAATATTCACTTTGCTTACTTCTTGCAGGAGGAATTGTGGGCTAAGTGGTTAGTAGAGAATAGGTATTCCAGACTTCTTTGATCTGAGACTGGACAGCTAGGTGCCATTGCATTTAGGTTAGACCCAGCTGCTGGCCATGGAAGGAAGTGAAGGAGGCCAAATGTTGGCAAAGGGCCTGGGAATAGGGACATGAAATCTGTGTCTTAGTAAAACAAGGTGAGTGAATTTCAAGGGATGGACAATATATAAAAAATCAGGGTTTCACAATGATGTTGCAAGACTCAGGGAATGAATGAAAAGGTGTACCATGTTCATGGACTGGAAGAATTCACATTGTCAACATGGCAATACTTCCCAAATTGATGTAAAAATTCAATACAATCCTTATAAACATCCAAGCTGGATTCCTTGCAGAAATTACCAAGCAAATCCTAAAATTCATAAGGAAAAACAAGGGACCCCAAATAGCTAAAACAACCTTGAAAAGAACAAACTGGGAGGACTTCACTCCCCAATTTCAAATTTTAATACAAAGCCACTACAGTCAAGATGGTGTGGTACTAGCATAAGGACAGACATACAGATCAACGGAATAGAACTGAGAGTCCAGAAATAAACTCTTACATTTATGGTCAACTAACTTTCAACAAGGGTGTCAAGACAATTCAGTGGGATAAGGAATAATATCTTCAATAAATTGTGCTGGGACAACACGCAAAAGAATAGACAGGGCTCCTACCTCACACCATATAAAAAATTAACTCAGAATTCATTAATGACCTAAATATAAGAGTTAAAACTATAAAACTCTTAGAAAAAAAACATACGAGTAAAAATTCATGTCCTTAAATTAAGCAAATGTCCAACAATTGATGAACACCTAAACAAAATGCAATATATTCATATGGTGGAATATTGTTCGGGAAAAAAATGAAATATTGATACATGCTACAACATGAATGAATCTGGAAAGCATGCTAAGCAAAATCAGGAAGTCACAAAGGACTATATATTGTATGATTCCATTTATATGAACTGTCTGGTGCAGGACAATCTATGGGGACAGGAAATAAATTGATGGTTGCTTGGGAGGTGGTGGGCGGCAGCTGGAGGAAGGTAGAGTGACTGCTAATGGGTTTGGGGTTTCTTTTCAGGGTGAGAAAAACATTCTAATATTGATTGTGGTGAACTCTGCACAGCTCAAACATACTAAAAAAGCCATCGAGTGGCACGCTTTAAATGGACAAACTGTAATGGCACGTGAATATACCTACAAAGCCATTAAAAATAAATAGATAGAAAGATAAATCAACAGAGATGGGGAAAGTAGATTCGGGGCTGAATCTCAGTTTGGAGAGGCTCAGGAGGATGGATGGAAGCAAAGCAGAGCTCTTCAAGGACTCATCACTTAGCAGGGGTGACAGACACAGGCGCCTAAGAGACCTTAGCAAAAGCCTGAAACCCAGTCATGAGAACAGAGGTGCCAAGTGGGAACAGAGCCCACAAGCCAGACTGACTTGGCACCACGTCCTCCTAAGACATCTGGACCAAGTTCAGGACGGCTTTCACGACTGGTGTCCTTTCATCCTTCCCGTGCCCCACTCCTGCCTGGGACACTCCTCTCCCATCAGCCTCGTTAACTCCTAGTCAAACTCTGGCCTTCAGCTCCTGCACTACTTATTCGAGGAAGCCCCAGATAAAAGATTTCCCTACGACATGCTAGCATGTGCTTACCACAGTTGTCATTTTATGGGCCTGCCAGCATGTGAGTGGGAAAGAAGAATGACTTTCTCCCTTCTGTACTAGGTTGTTAGCTCCGTAAGGACAGACCTGTGTCATCCCACGTCCCCACTGCCCAGCACTGTGCCTGAAACATAAGTAAGCACCCAAAGAGTTCTGAGTTCTTAATGAATGAATGTGTGCAGGAGTGAATTTAGGAATGTTTTCTAGACCACGGAAGACAGACAGTTGCAGATCAGATCTGAACGACTTCTAGGTATGAACGGAGAGGGACTGGAGGGGGTAAGTCCAGGGAGTAAGCAGGGAAAACATCTGGAGAGGGGGGTCTCTGAGGTGGGAAAGAGAAACAAAATAAAGAAAGGAAAAGGAAGTAGGCTGGAAGGTGGAGTATGCGAGGCAGAGAAAGTTGACGCTTACAGAACTCAGCAGCAGCTAGATCTGACTCTTCCCACAAACCCAGAACTGCCCTGGGGCTTCTGAGAATGCTGTTCCCCAGCACCCCTTCTGGTGATGCAAATCCACCCTGCAGCATGTAAATACCGGCCTGGAATCCGTGGGGAGGTGTCCTCCAGCAGGAGCTGAGATACACCCAGGAAAGGTGAAGCATTTCCCTCTCCAGCGGGGGAAGGCCGCTGGCTGCACTTCTCCCAGAACTTAGGCACGGGCATTCTCCCCCGGACCTATTTTCTCCTCTGTAAATGTCAGGCGGCTGTCTCTGAGGTTTCCTTCAGCTCTGGCATCTCAAGAGACCAGGACTATGGTCTCTGCTAACAGAAAATAGCAGCTTGCAGAGGCTGCCTACCCCGGTGTTGACTTTCTTGAGGAATAATCTGGAGACTGCCAGGAATTCCCCAACTAATGAGTTTAGGAATGTTTTCTAGACCACAGAAGACAGACAGTACCGATCAGATCTGAACCACGGCAGGTTATACCAATACGTCGTTTAATTCGTGCAAAACTCCCTTCTAGGTAGCAGAAAGAAGTTTTGGAATCTTTTTCTTTGATTTTTTTTTTTTTTTAAGAGAGCCAGGATCCCACTCTGTCCCCCAGGCTGGAGTACAGAGGCATGACTGTAGCTCATGGTAACCTCAAACTCCTGAGCTTAAGCAGTCTTCCGGCCCCAGCCTCCCTTGTAGCTTGAACCACAGCTGAACACCACCACGTCTAATTTTTAATATTTTGTAGGCTGGGCAAGGTGGCTCACGCCTGTATCCCAGCACTTTGGGAGGCCGAAGCAGGCAGATCACGAGGTCAGAAGTTTGAGACCAGCCCAGCCAACATAGTGAAACCCCGTCTCTACTAAAAATACAAAAAATTAGCTTGGTATGGTGGCAGGTGCCTATAATCCCAGCTACCTGGGAGGCTGAGGCAGGAGAATCACTTGAACCTGGGAGGTGGAGGTTGCAGTGTGCCAGGATTGCACCACTG